ATAGTCATGGTGTTCTCAGAACTGCCAGGTGTACCCAAGTCTTGTGCTTTAACACCATCCGTGGTTCTCTATACATTTTTGTTGAAAAACACTTTTTTTCCTAAAAAAGGACATTGCACTGATGGATGGGTTGAGGTTGGTGGTGAAGACAATGAGTAACATTACCGGTTTTGTTCCATTTTTTGCTAGAAATAATGGAAAAATGCTCTATTTTAATCACTAACCAGGAACATAAACTACATCAGCTCTTACTGCCAGAAATGGGATTTTCGGCTTCTCACAGGTCTTAGTACTGAGACTTAAATTAATATTAAAACCCCCAAAGTCATAAGCTCAAAATAACAAATAGTATCTGGGGGGAACCCAAAGTAGTAATGTTGACAGTGCTTTGTGGATACAGCAAAGTGCTACAGCTAAATGAGGACATTTTTCCTCACTTTAGCAAGAAGGATTTTTTGTTGACTGCTTGGTTGTATGTAAAATAAAGACCAAATTGTTCCACAGAGCGTATAATTCATGAAGTTTTAACCTTCACATGACTTTACCAATCAACTCAAAGTGACACAGCCCATACCCGAGATAGTATTGTCGATGTTTTGGTATCAGGCTTTCTTGCCATTGTTCTAAACTGTCTTTGGTACATAGTGAGTTGTCTAGGCACAAGAATCGTAGAGTCATAGAATCATAGCATAGTTAGGGTTGGAAGGGACCTTAAGATTATCTAGTTCCAACCCCCGTGCCATGGGCAGGGACACCTCACACCAAAACATGTCACCCAAAGAAGCGTGGTAGTTAACAACTGTTTTGACTTCAATAAGGCATCTGATGGAGTTATCACAAATTACTATTGAAGCTGGAGAAGGAATCCTCACAGATTCGATAAGAAGCTGGCTAAATGAGAAACACAGCCTTTTGAAAGGAAAAATACTGATACAGAGGGAGCTCACCAGCAAGGTTTCATGAAAAACCTCTGTGAATGAAGGGCATAACCTACTGTCAGTGCACTTAACACTAAACAAGCTTCAGGACAACAGTAAGAGAAGTGGAGTGACATTTGGTGGCCTCAAAGACAAAGCTGCACAGTAGAGGTCTAACAACAGAAAACAACAGGCTCTCAGCATCTGGAAGCAACTGAGAAGAACCTCTGTCACTGACTACTAATAGTGGGTTGTCAATATGAGGACATTAAAAAAGCCCCAAAGACAACATTAAGAAAAGACATCATCAATCCTGAGATTTATAAGAACAAGGATCAAGAACTGGTACAAGACTAACCGGATGATTGTGGAAACGACACACACAGCAATAGGGTCTGAACCAGCTGCTAATTCCAGAAGAAAGTTATTTTGTTGGTTACAGTAGCTAGGTGCATGAGGGTGCCGTGTGACTGTTCAGTAGTTAAAAAGGGAAATAAATAGGACATCAGAAGCTATTAGGAAGCAAAGGAGAACAAAACCAAGTGGAGTACAGAAACGGATGATAAATCATATCTTAAATAGTGTGTGCAACTGCTAGTTACCCTGTTTAATTTACAAAAGGATAAATTGAAAATAATATATACAGAGTAATAAGGGGAGTAAATGATACGGATCAGAGCTGCGACTTGGAGAAGAGCTAGTTCAGGTTGGAAATCGCAGACTTTGATGCAATCAGAGATGGCATTCAGAAATAAGAGGCATAGGTTTGGTCTCATGGGACTTTGATGCAATCAGAGATGGCATTCAGAAATAAGAGGCATCATTGGTTGGTTATATTACAGAAGTCTGCAGTTATCTAAACAAACCTCTCCAGTTTTTACCTGGTTCTCTGTTTCCATCCCAGGATTCTGGTTTCCGCCCTCCTTCAAAGCGTGGAAATTCATCTGGAGTGGGAAGTAAACCCTTCCGGCCTCCTGCGCAGTAAGAGATGCAGTGGACAGGAGACGTTGGATTCATGACAATACTGTAATTTGCCCAGGAAGTGTCTTTGCTTCCTTATCCTAGCATTTCAGTATGGAAGAATGTTCCACTCACCTCTCACAGCACCACGACCTCGCCCCCGAACACCATGGTCCCTTCCTCTTGAGTTTTCATCTGGAGAGTCAAAAGCATCATCTGGCCCAAAATCTTCAGGTCCAGGAAAGCCATCTCTCCCCCTGGGTCCCCGGCCCTCATGTCTTGAGGGTCCTCCTCTTCTGAAGCTACAAGAAAGAACATGGTACACATGGGGTTTAGACAGAATTTAGATTGAGAAACTTTAGCCAGCTTCAGATTAATCATCAACTCATTTCTGAACTGTTTTACTTAATACTGCAGCACATACAGTTACTAGAATAGGATTTGTAGGTGGAAAAGTGCTCGTTTTCTGCCTTTGAGCACTTTGTCTATTCATTTTTGTAGTTTCCCCTCATTTCCTTCTGCTGATTGTGTTTGTTTCTCAAACAAGAAAAATACGTTCAAATATACTGTATTCATTTAATAAAGGGGGGGGGGGAGTAATCTGTGAGTGATGATAAACAGAAGGTAAAGTATAAGTGAATTTCCCTTAATGTGGTGGTCTTCTTTCCCCTTCCATTTTTTTTCCCTTCCATTGTAGTGATAAAAACAAACTGGAAGAATTCAAGCAATGAGAGTCATGACTATAACAGAACACATCAGCATCTCATTCCATTGGTTTTTGCTAACCTAAAACATTCTCTTTTCTGTTCCATTCTTCTCAGTTTACAGTTTTAGCAGATGAATCTAGAGAGCCTTTGGCTCTGTAGGGATGAGGGTGACTGTTGACCAGCATGCACAGTGGCATTCTACAACCTGAAGAGCAGTTTATTCAGCTGCGATAATGAAGGATTTTGCTTTGCAAAAGGTAGTTTTGACACTGAAATTGATAATGTCTACTAAGTCCCGTGGCAGTAATTTGCTATGACTGGGTTGTGCATCTCATGTGAAATGAGTGTAGCTCCTCCAGTATCACACTGAGGTTTTAACTGAGGTGTTCAGAGAGAAGAATGGTTCTTAATGAAATGTCAGCGCCACTTCAGGTAAGCCTGTAGGTGGCTGCATGAACACCGGTAGTTTCGGTTTTCACCTTGCCAGTTTAAACACCTGCAGCACAGATGTGTTCTGTGTGCTACTGCACCTCCAGAAGTGCGCCCTGTCTAGCGCCGGTTGTTAGGACTGCTTTAGTTTACAGCCCCGTTTCTGTGCAAGCACAGGCGGGAGCTTTATGCAGTGCAGGCACACTGGTTCAGGAGTGCTCACGGTCAGTGCGACCCCACGCTGCTCCTGCCCACCCCTCAGCAGCAGCACACATCATGCAGGGCACTGTTTGCCCATTCCCACTGATGCCCCCCACCTCCCCTCTCTTCCCAGTTCCACGCTGGCCAAACTGTAACCTCCATAATACAGGGATGGTGTTTGCTTTGTGCAGCGTCCCCTTCCCCAGCTCATTAACGACACGGTGCATCCTATTACAAGCAAAACTTTAGATACTTTTATTTAGAATTTTAACAACATTAACCTTTTAATTACAAAGTTAAATATTTTAACAGTAGTCAGAACACAATACAATAGTGTTAAACTTTTACAATTTATGTTTCATGAAAAACAATAGGTCTGTCTCCACCTCCCAGAGAACAACCACAACACAGAGAGGAGGCTGCTGTGCCTGTAGAGGTACAACAGTGGATGGAGGGAGTGCTGTGTATGGACAATGAACCATTTTACATTAACCTGGATGATCTGGGAGAACAAACTGAGCAGTTTCAGGTACAAATGGTTCAGATGATCACATTGCAATATTGTTTAGCCTTGAAACAGCACAGTCCCCTAGATGTTCTTTAGAGGGCCTTCCATTTTAATATTGACATGGTGGAATGCTCACAAATACTGTGTGTGGTGTGGCACTGAGTGTCATGGAGAGGAGAAGGATATGGATGATGTCCTAATGCGAGAAGGACGTGGAGCTGTTGGAGCTAATCCAGAGGATCCTATGGAGATGCTGTGATGGCTGGAGCAGCTCTGCTCTGGAGCCAGGCTGAGAGAACTGGCCTGGGTCAGCCTGGAGAAGAGAAGGCTCCTTGAGGGGAGACCTTAGAGCAGTTCCAGTGCCTCAAGGGGCCAGTAAGAAATCTGGAGTGGGACCTTTGGCAAGGGCCTGTAGGGACAGGACAAGGGGAATGGCTTTAACCTGACAGAGGGGAGATTGAGATGAGCTCTTAGGCAGAAGCTGTTCCCTGTGAGAGTGCTGAGATGCTGGCACAGGGTGCCCAGAGGAGCTGTGGCTGCCCCATCCCTGGCTGTGTTCAAGGCCAGGTTGGACACAGGGGCTTGGAGCAGCCTGCTCTCGTGGAAGGTGTCCCTGTCTGTGGCAGGGGTTGGAGCTGGATGAGCTTTAAGCTGCTTTCCAACCGTTCTGTGATTCTGATTCTCCACCTCTTTGTCTACACTTCTGGGGAAAAGGATGTAATAAATGCAATTGGGAGTGTTAGTTCTTATTGGTACCTCTGAAATCTATCACTAGTCTCCCAATAAGGAGTGTAACAGACTTAGTGATCCGAAAGTGATCTCAGGGGATTTGCACCATTCCCTTCAAGTAGATAATTATGAGCCTTGGCATTAGTTGTTCTTAATTGCTGTGCTTTGAAACCCCGGAGGGGTTAAAGGGGAAGATATCCACGGGAGTTACAGCTCCGCATAGCACCTGCCTGTTTGGTAAACCTGCGGAGCATGAGCATGCAGCAATACAGGGACACAGCTATGCGCGGCTAGGAGCTAGGCTAGACATAGCCAGGCGAGGCCGATGCGCTCAGGAAGCGGTACTACCGGCTCTGCAGCGCCTGCAGCCGCAGACAGACACCGCCGCAGAAACCCCTCTGCCCGCTGGCCCTGCGCGCCTCACAGCTTGAGCGTCCCTCACAGAGGGCGGGACTAACACAGAGACCATACCCCGTGCGCATGCGCGGGGCGATTCGCGCCGCCACCTGCCTTTCTTCCGGCCGCGTTACCGTGAGCACCGCCTTTCACTGCCGCCGAGCGTGGTGACGTAAGCGTGCGTGCACCGCCCGGCCGCTGGTGGGGAAGGAAGATGGCGGTCGGCCGTGGTGGGGGTTCGTGAGGTGGCGGCGCGGTGGCGGCTTCCGGGGCCCGGAGGGACGAGGCGACTGGCGAGGCGGCAGGGCGCGGAGCTGGGGTGCGAGAGAGCGGCTGGGCGGTGAGTGCGGCTCGGTGCTGCTCCGCGGGTGCGGCGGGGAGCGGTGTGGGAAGCGCGGCTGCCTCCGCCATTTTTAGGCCGCGGCCCAGAAGCACAGCGGCTAGGTTCGCGAAGCGGCCGAGCCCTGGCGCGTCCCGGCAGCGGGGCGGCATAGGTGCAGTAGTGAGGGTACGGGTGTTGCTCGGACTGGGGGCACCCTTGGGAGTACGGGACCTTGTCCACGCAGAGCCCAGCTCTGCGGCGACGGGCCCACGGCGTGGGGTGTGCAGGAGGGTTCAGGTCGCGGCGAAAGCTGGGGCTGGGAGGTTTCTTGCCTGCTTCCTGTGTAGCTGTCTGGTTGTGCCTTCTCCCGAGGTCTCTCTCAATCCTGCCTTTTTCTGTTATTGAAATTGTTATTATTTTATGTGTATATTGCTTTTCTTCTGTCCGCCTTTGATTTGAGTGGAGATTGGGTTATGACTGCTTGAAGATCTGGTTTGGGAAGTCCTAGCCATTATGGGTAGATGCAGCCATGTGCAGCAGGCATCTGCTTATTCTGGAAGGGTGGATGGTTTTAATGATGATATGGTGGCACATTCCATTGGTTGAGACTCACCAGTCTATGATTATCACATGGATAGGAAACCTAGGGGATGTGTTAAATTAATTAAAAAAGGCAAAACCACCAAACCAGCTTTTTTCTGTTAGGGAGAGCTCATTAAACCTTGTGCACTCTTGAAGATTGTTGTAACTTCTCTCCTGTTGTTATCTTCTTGGTTATGAGTAGATAGATGCATGGTTTCAGATACAGTGTTTTGAAACGTTACTCATTTGAGCACATCTGTTTGTCCTACACAAGCTGTCATAGGTAAGCGGTTATATCCTTAATTGCAATTTGTGATTAGTATTTGGGACTCTGTTTTCCTGTGTAGACATTTGTCCCTCAACTCTCTCCTTGCAACAGATGTTTACTCTTTTTTGCTTTTGTGAATTAGAAGTGTTCTCTCCTTCCTTTAGGAAGGGCAGCACTCCATACATATTTGTTGGAGAGCTTATAGTATACAAACAATATTATGTCAAAGTAGTTTGGGATTCTCTCCTCCTGAACTGTTTATCAGCTAAATTGACTTTGCTTCTCAACAGTTTGCTGCCATATTCTGCCATAATCATTAATGTAATAACAGGTATCATAAAATATATTGCAAAATCTGTTTTTTTACATCTCATTCAGTTGTGCTGTGACATTTTTAATCTTAAGATCCGAAAATGTAGTTAAAGTAGCTTTTTTTTTTGTTTGTTTTGAGTTCTCTGCCCAACTCCCCTACAGTTGAGAAGATAAGCTTTCCAAAGCCTTCCTGCATTTGACTGTTTCAGAAGTGGATGGAACTACCAGATTTGAAGGGCATCAGTTTTGAGGAATAAATGTTGAGATGCAAGTTAAAAATCAAATCCCTGAGCTGCTAAATACTAGTAACTAGTATATGTTTAACTTAGTACTCTGCTCCTAGAGCTGCTAAAACCTTTTAACTTGAATGTCAGTTACTAAAAACTGTTCAAACCTTTCCTAGTTTCCTGAAGTGTTGGTCCTCCTTTGAATCTTTGCAGCAGCAAACTTTTTGAACCATTGGCATTGAAAATTGTTTATCTGTTCCATATTCCTGCTATTAGCAGGGGTTAGCACAAGTAATAACATAGTGTTCCTAGATAGCTCTTGAGATAGAGATACTAGAAATGCATTCTTTTGCTGCAGGAAATGGAGGCCTTGATCTGAGGAGGGGATGAGAAATCTTCTGTTTTGTTTCCATCCCTGGCAGATGTCCTGGTCTTCTTGCTCGCCTGAAAAAAATATTGCAGGGAAGACTTCTGGTTGAGTAGGAATAAAAGAATACTGCTTAACTTTTTACTGAGAGGATTCCGTGTGAAATATTTCACTTTTTGCATCTGCTCCCCATAGGGTTAATATCCAGAGAATTTCTATGGTTGTCTCGCTAACACTGGAAAGGAAAATAATTTTAGCTTTGCCCAGATGGTACTCTAGTTTATAATTCAGAGAACTGCTCATATCTTTGTGCAGGGAAGTTGTAAGAACAAGCTCAAAACTTTCATCTGTAGTATGTTTGTGAATTTTACAAAATTTGTTATTTCCTGATATATACTTTTTGTTACTGAAAGTTCTGTACAAAGTAGAAATACAGATGTGCAGGTTTGGCTGGTATAGTTAACAAACAAATGTCATTAGGAAGTAAATCTCAGTTAAACTGAACACTGTTAGAGCTTAATGGTTGGGAGAAGATGTAGTAAAGATATTTCAAAATATTAAAACCCTAAAAGAACTTTAGTTTTTGTCTCTTACAGAGAAATCTCTGAAAGTAAGAGCAGAGAAGTAGACTGATAGCTAAATAGTTCTTTGTGTTTTGTTGAGAGCACCTCTGATTCCGTATTTTTTAAATGGTGCTAAACTTAACTAGTGTTTATAAAAACTACGCAGCACGTAATAGAATGTAATTTCTGGTTCAACCAGCTTTCCACATTCAGTCTGGGTGTACCAGTCATTCTGTTGTGAAACTTGAAATGTGATAGGAAGTATATATTTACCAGGAGAAGCAAGCAAGTTATTTTCTCTTTTGTTGTGCAGTATTACTTTTGATCGCATCTTTAGTATAAAGGCAGTTCATGCACAGCAATATGAAATACCAGTTAAAATTGTTCTTCGGTTTCTGATAATGCAGATTAAAGTTGGTGGTGGGAAAAGGTACGGCCTGAGTGTGTTACAGCACAGTAGAAGCCTGCATTTTGTGAAAGTTGTAATTAGAAAGGTGTCTAAGTATTCCAGGCCATTATTGTTTGCTTATTTTAAAGGGTTTTATTTCAGGTTTCTTTCCCTTTACTAAAGAGGACTCGCTTTAAAAAAAAAATAATACAAACTAACAAACCTAAAACCAAACAAAAAACTAACCCAGGAACTGTAATACTTCTTAAATAACTTAAGTACTATCAGAACTTATGTGTTTAGATCTACTACTGACTTGATACTGTCCTTTGAGCCTTTATACTCTTTTTGGCACAGTTCCTTATTTGCATTAAGTGATCACAGTTATGATTTAAGTGATCACAGTTACAATTTGTAAGGCTTTCTCTGGATGCAGAGGGATACTGGAGACCAAAATATTTTATCATTTGAAACTCGGCTAACTGGTATTATTGCTGTTTTATCTCTGCACCAAATTGTAAAGTCAAGTATGGTTCTGTGTGGTAAGAAACAAACCCCTGTTTATTTAGGAAGCTATGTACCTGTTTTTCACTTGAGGGAAAACAAACCCTGTTCATTAAGATACCTTGTTGAACAGGAAGAGTAAGTGCCAACTTCTGTAATATGGGATATGCTGAAAATCCATGTAAATAAAAAGGACTAAGGATACTAAAGAAAATCCATTTACTTTAAGGGCTGAAGAGTGTATCATGTCTAAAAACAATGGATTGTGCTGAGTAAGTTGCTGTGAGCTCTTATCAGGAATTGGGGGTTCTGTTCTGAACAATTTCACTGGTCATTGCTTTTATTGCAACTTCTCTCAGTTGTTGGAGGAAAGGCTTGCCCTACAGTATTAAACTTTGCATTACTAACCGTGATAAAACTTCTTTGTTGTACCCAAGTGGTGTTTCAAACAATTACATGGAAGTGTTCTTAGACATGTATTGAATGTAAAAAAAAAAATACAAGCAATTTTCATGTTCTTCAGACACAGATGAAAACCTCTCTTCCTCTCTGGGCCCTTACACACTTCATCAAGTAACCCCGGTACTTACTTTTCTGTCAATAAGGCATTAGAAACTTATCTTGAATTTTTCATTCTAAGGATTTTTTTCTAATACACTGAGCACTTCTCCCTTTCTGTTTGCTTTTTCTTGGTTAATTTTTTTTATTAAAAATGCTGATATGCTTGTCATGAGCTCATTGCTGCTATTTAATTTGTCTTCAGTAAAATGAAATGTGCTCATTTAAAAAAAAAGAAAGCCACCCCAAAAAAGCTATTAACTTTTCAAGTTTTGAAAATGTCAGCAGTGGAGTTGTATATTTTACATGAACTAGAATTTTTAGTTCTTTTAGGTAATTAACAGGCAGCAGAATATTATGTTTTTTTTTTTTTCTCTTGGTACTAGAGTTCATACAGTGGTGCAGGCAGCTGTACAGGGGTACCTTTTCTGTGAGCAGAGGTATGTTGGTTGGTTGGTTTTAATCTGGCTCAGTTTTCTGTTTTGGCCTTATATTACTGGTTCTGGGACTGGTGAGGTGCTAGAAAAAGGGGAGATGATGGAAATACCTGTTTCTGCCATAACATTGTTTTCTGCTGCACTCATGAGTAGCTGTAACCATGTGTTGAGAGGCTGTATGCACTACTCTTAGTATGACAGCTATATCAGCTCTTTATAAAATACATCTCTGAATGTTTAACATCATGTCTGCTTAGTACTGAGTTTTAATGAAAGGTGGTTGGTCGTGAAGCTTGGAATTACTTGCTCACTTGTATCCTTACACAAAAGTGAGTACACCGAGTCGAACAGTGTGGCAGGATAGGCCAAGAGCAGTTTTGCAGCTAAGTGGAGGTACATTGACACTGATCAGTTCTGTATGTTAGTGTTTTGTACACTTCAAGGTGAGCACACAGACCCTTGAAATAATCAGTGTTTAAACATTTGAGTGTTCCTTTAAATAATATTCCCAAATCCAAAAGAAACATGATATAAAAGAATGTGTCCTTTAAGAGGATGTCAGAAGCCGGTTAACAAGGAGTCTGTAGTGTTTTACGGGTCTGGTGTAGTTTTTGTGTTCACTCTGAAGTTTTGGCAATACAATGATTTGTATTTTATTGTAGGTGTATGCAAATCTTCAAATTTGAGTCTAGTAGGAGCTGCACTTTGAATTTGATAAGTAGTGCCACAGCTCCAGCTGAAGCAGGTGCTCGAGTGCAGCCTGAGTACTGCATACCAGTGTAGCTCTGCAGTGTCCAGTGTACAATTTGCAG